CTGCATTCGACCTATCACCCTCTCTACCTGCACCTAGCTGCTCTTCCCTTCCAGTCCTTGGCCATTCTTGGCAGGCTGTTATGACCTTAGCATAATTCATATCTCCTTCCTTCCTGTTCAGCCTCTCAGCTTCACATGCTGTGTCTTCTCTGGTCACTGCCCATGTAACTTGCCTCAACCTGTTTACCTCATCTTCTAGGACCCTTATCCTGGCTACTGCAGTTTCGACATGTGCCTCCCAATTCTTCTTCTCCTTCTCCAAACTCTTTTCCAATTTCACAGAAAACCCTTTCTCCATTTTTTCAGAAAGCTCTCCTAATTTTCTCTCCCACTCCTGTTCCATCCTCTTCCACTGCTGTGCGTGTGTGTGTGTGTGTGTGTGTGTGTGTGTGTACTCACCTATTTGTACTCACCTTTTTGTGGTTGCAGGGGTCGAGTCTTAGCTCCTGGCCCTGCCTCTTCGCTGATTGCTACTAGGTCCTCTCTCTCCCTGCTCCATGAGCTTTATCATACCTCATCTTAGAACTATGTATGGTTCCTGCCTGCACTACTTCACTTGCCAGACTGTTTCACTGCCTGACAAGTCTATGACTGAACAAATACTTCCTGTATATTACACTGTATTCGACGTTCGTCAAAACCATTTGTCATGCCCTCTCTACCAGTGAACTGGAATTCGGAGTGTAGCAGTTCTGGGGCCCCACTTCTGTTTATTGTTAGTTCAACCTGCTTATCACATGGCAAGTGACATCACTTTAACTCACCTACCAGTGCCGGTGTTGATTTGAATGACTTGATTTGTACCATGTGGAAAATTACATTTACCTGGATGAATCTCATTAGATACATACAAGCATACAAGTAAATGGTAACAAAGATAATTATTATTTATCAAAGTTACAGAGACAAGTAGGAATTTTTAGGACACCTAGGTCGCAAAAAATGTCCCCCTTCGATACCTACCATAATATATCTCTCCACAAGTTGCTCTAGACCTACATTATTTGCAAATGAAATGTACATCACCAGGAATTCTGGTAAAATTTAATATAAATTTGTGGACTGTATATTAAAATTAATAAATGATTGTATATGCACAATTATATAACAGAAGGAGAATTTATACTCATAACACTCACCAATTAGTCTGGAGGTTACTGTGTGTCATGTACAGAACCCCCCTCTAACTAAATTTATGATAATAATACTGGCCAGAATTACAAACATAATTTAGATAGCTTATCTGAGGTTCCTGGAGCTGTCCTGTACAACGGTTTAATGCTCAAATTATGTAGGAATGCACATCCAACAATTTCGGCTCCTATTTGAGAGGTTTTAAGCCCAATATAATCCCTAGAGCTACGAAAATTATGCACCTTACATTAACGTGCTTGTAACACATTCAAAAAACAATGGCGTCTCCTCCTGCTCCCCAGCGCAGGCACAGAGCTTCCCTCTCCATTCTCTTTTTCATTTACAAATTAATTTTTATTAAATACAATGTATTTCAGTAATTTTCATAAAAAATACGCTGGATTTTTCGGAAAATACATTATTTTCCACATACCATTTCCACTCTCGTATTCTTTTGATAATCTTGTACATATTGTATATATTTATTTGTGAAGAATACACGGGTAAATTAATTCAATTCAATTCAATTCAAAGTTTATTCTCTATAAGGATTACAATGCTGAGTTTACAGAAATTTGGTTATTGTTTGGTTTACATGTAGTAAAATTGTGATTACAGAGTGTACCACTAGAACGCTTAGCATGGCTGCCCTGATGAATTCTTTCTTAGCTTGCTGACTGACTTTTTAGGTTATCCTAGGTAATTTACACACATGTTACCTTGTATGATAATTTGTGTAACTATACCTGTTTCTATGACCTGTGTACCTGTACCTATATTAATTTACTTATGACCAGGTGCTACAGGCCATCAGATTTACCTGGAGTTTACCTGGAGAGAGTTCCGGGGGTCAACGCCCCCGCGGCCCGGTCTGAGACCAGGCCTCCTGGTGGATCAGAGCCTGATCAACCAGGCTGTTGCTGCTGGCTGCACGCAAACCAACATACGAGCCACAGCCCCTGACCCGGAATGACTTTAGGTGCTTCCCGTCCCAGCTTGAAGACCCCAGGGTCTTTTGGGTAATCCCCCTTATGTGTGCTGGGGGGCGTTGAACAGTCCGGGCCCCTGACACTTATTGTATGGTCTCTTAACGGGCTATGACACCCTTTTTTTTTTTTTCATTGGGGGGATGGTGCATCGTCTGAAAAGTTTTTTGCTTTCGTAGTGGGGATTTTCGTGTGCAAGTTCGGTATAGTATTTGGGGATTTTCCGGTGTTATAATCTGATCTCCCCCTCCTGCGTTCCGGGAATACGGGTTTAGGAACCCAAGCGCCCCCAAAATTTAAAAGGTGTTTTATCTCCTTTATGCCCCCGTGAAAGTTCTTGTCTTTTTTCTGGGTCGGAAATTTCCCCTCCCTTGAAAGGTGCTTTTTAGTGTGAAAAAAAAATTTTTAGCCTAAAAGAACAAGGACCTGAAGAGGCATATGGGTTGGCCCCCCTAGTTTTGAAGGGTTCTCATTATCCATCCTTCTTTTTTTAGCAGATCGATTGATCAATGTTATGGCCCTTTGAAGGGGGAATCTCCGACAGATCACTCCCAGGTTTTTGCTTTGGGTTGTTTCGCTCTTTTTTGGGGCCCAGAATTTGTTTTGTACTCGATGAAGATTTAATTTCCCTCATGTTTACCATATCGGATTTTTGAAATTTCTCTCGTTGAACTTCATATTGTTTTTGCACCCCACTGAAAGATTTTGGGTTTATGTTTCCTGGGCTTTGCAGTGTCTGCAATGGAAGACACTGCATGCAGATTGGGGTCATCTGCAAAGGAAGACCGTGCTGTGGCTGAATCCTTTTCTATGTCGGATATAAAGGGTGAGGAACAAGATGGGGGCGAGTACTGTGCCTTGTGGAACAAGCTTTTTTACCCTAGCTGCCCCGGATTTCTCTGTTGACGATCTCTCTGTGTTCTGTTAGGAGGAAATTTAGATCCATCGACCGATTTTTTCCCGTTTTTCCTTAGCACGTTTTTTTGCGCTATTACGCCATGGCACACTTGTCGAAGGCTTTTGCAAAGTCTGTATTTAAAATCTGCTTCTTTTTGTTTTAGTGCATTTAGGACCTTGCTGTGGTCCAATAGTTGAGACAGCAGGAGGCCTTTCTAAAAACCCTTTGCCCTGGGTTGTGTAATGAGGGTTTCAGATGGGGGGTGACTTGCTTCTTGGGCCCTTTCAAAAAATTTTTTTGATTGGGATGTTTGTGCTATTGGTCTGTATTCTTTGCTGTTTCTTTACTGCCCCCCTTGTGGAGTGGGGCTTGTCTGTTGTTTTTAGTAATGTGGGACGACCCCCTGTCCTGCTCCCTTCATAGGATGGAAAAGGCTCGTGATAGGGGGGTTCTTGCACTTTTTTTTCTAATTATACCATTTTGTGTAATGTATAGTGGTGCAATGTATAGGGTAATGTATAGTTAATATAGTGTTAGGAGTAGTGGACCCCGGTTAACATATTTCTTCACTCCGAAGTATTTTCAGGTCCCAGTACGCCCGAATTTGTCCCCATAAGAAATTTTGTAAAGAGTTTAGTCCATTTCCCCCCCCAAACATACAGTAAAAAACGCCTTACATAAATCACTTACAAAATTTGTCACATTGGGAGGAAACGTTATGCGGGGGTCCACTGTATTTGGGTAGATCACTAGGTGCAAACACACAGTAAAAACAGTACAAGTGGTGTAAAGGAATCCCCCCCCATGAAAAGAAAAAAATAAATCCCAAAAATCAATAAAATCTTTAATTAAAAAAAAAATTTTAAAAAATATGAAACAAAAAAAAATCGCCTAACTGAAGCTAATGATGGAAAAAAAAAATAATGAAAAGGGATAATTGTCCCAAAAAGGGTTTTTCGAGTCTGCCGGTGTTATAAAAAAGGCGCACAGAAATAGTGTAACGCGACGCTGAAGACAGAGTAAGGTCACAGGTGGTTGTGATTGTTATTAAGTCCAGCTCCAGAAGGTTACAATACCTATGACGGTGCACAGCTAGCAGCTTAAGTCCCGAGTTGCTGCCGGATTTTTAGTCAAATTTAAAAACGGCAACAGAGTAAAAGAACAAAGGGAAATTCCTCAATATGTTGTTGACATTGTAGCTTTGTCTTGGTCGTAGGGAAAAACCAGTTTTGAAGTGAGGCTTTTGGCCTGTACAGTAGTAGTGTAACAAGAGAGTTCTTGTGATGCAGGAGTGGAAATCTAAAGCAAAGGTGAAGGAACACCAGACTTTCCAAGATGAGGACTTTGACGAGACGGTGGACCTGCACAGCAGATTTCTCGCAAAGTAGTAAACGAGTGAACCATAGGAGAAGGAACAATAGTTCCCAAGATTCCAAATTCTTCAGTTTCTGATCTATAATAGATTTAATAATTATTAGATTGTGCTGGTCGTCTGGCTGCTGGTGGGTGACCCAAACCATCCAGCATGGCTGAGAAGAAAACAAAAGGAAAATACGAACCGGACAAAAAGTCATTCACATGATAGGCTGAAGGCCTTTAAAAGAAATAGTGATGACTAAATATGTATTACCTTAAAAATGGAAATTCCTAACAAGAGTACAAGTCTTATCAATTAAGTTAAGAAAAAGCTAAACATGAAATGAGAAATCAAGCGTGGATTCCATACTAACAAACTTGACGAGACAGGAAAGTCAAGTCACTCTACTCCTCCAGCAAGGGTTACTTGTTGACTCTCACCCGGCGGATGAGTGGGGGGGGGGTAAAAGTAACTACTCACATATCCTCTTCTGATCAGGCATATTACCAGTCATACTTCCTCCACCAGTCATTCAGTCTTCCACTCTTATTTAATGAACCTTTCCCTCACAAGTGGTGAGTTAGTAAGATTTAGGCATTCATGGTTTTTTTTTCTCGTGGTGCAGGAGTCATCTGGAGGTGTTTGCTGGTTATGTTACTGCTGGAACTGTGTCAGTTCTGCCTCCCATCCTGACGGAGCTCCACCTGGCTGTGGTGAGTGATAACCAGGCTCTCGATCTCCTGCCACAACTAAGTGCTTCTGTATCCTCCACACTACATAAACTTGAGTACCTAGGTGAGTGTTTTATTGTGTTTTATGTCTAATGTGTGTGTGGTGTTGCAATTGATGGTGCTAATTGTGAAGCGTGTGTTCTGTCTCCATGCGATAGTGTTTTGACTGTTGCTGGCGAATGTTTGTGGTGGTGCTATGGATGTGCAACACCACTAGCACTGGTGGTTATGCTAGTCAATATGACTCACGAAATCGTAATGACACGATTGCAAACAAACCATACCACGGACAAGGTTAGAACCCGCGATCAGAATAAAAAAACTCCAGGCCTGGGCCAGCTGGCTACAGTAAGATTGATCCGACTAGATAGAGTCGTCTGTTAAATCTTGTATTTGTGGTTACAGTGGTGCCTATGGTAACCTTCCTATGGTGTAGAAATATACCTAGTTGGATGAATCTTATTGTAGCTAGCTGGTCCAGTGGCTAACGCGTCGGTCTGAAGTTTTATGATTCTTTGATCGTGGGTTCTAACCCCCACCCGTGGTATGGTTTGATTATGCTAGTGTTTTTGATGGTGCTAGTAGAAGTGCTATTGGCGATGGTAGTGCAGATGCTTGTGGTAATGCTTTGGAGTGACAACCACTAGCAATGGTCCTGCTAGTGGTCTAAGTCGTTCCAAATCTTGACCATTCTATGTCTAAAGAAATATTCACTAATTTCCCTATGAATCATTTACGTTTTAAACTTCTAGCTGTGACCTGGTGTATGTATCTGAGTTCCGCCTGGCAATCACTCTTCCTGTCCACCCTTTCCACCATGTCCATCTTGTTCACCTTGTTCATCTGTTCACTCTGATAAATTAGACACATGTGCAACTCTTGGGTATCTTTATTGAGGAAACGTTTCGCCACACAGTGGCTTCATCAGTCCATACAAAGGAGAATCTTGAAGAACAGGAGGAGAATGAGGTAATCAGTCCCTCAACCTTGAGTCGATGTGGTCAGTCCATCAGTCTTGAATAGAATACGGCATACGTGCGGAGAAGGAGCTTATAAACCGTTGGTAGGGGAGGTACAGAAGTCATAGGTCGTGTAACATTTGTTCAATGTTGAAGTAGGTCGTGCCCAAGAATTAGGCAAGCGAAGAATTCCCAAGTATTAAGATCCCAAGAAGTTGCAGTGTCTGACAGGTTTGTAGATGAATGGTTCAGAGAACCGACATGTTGATAAATTAGAAACGTTTCCTCAATAAAGATACCCAAGAGTTGCACATGTGTCTAATTTATCAACATGTCGGTTCTCTGAACCATTCATCTACAAATCTGTTCACTCGTCCACCCTATTTATACTGTTCACCCTCTCCACCTAGTCCACCCCATCTACCCTGTTCACCTGCATACCCTGTCCACACTGTCCATCTTGGAATCCCGTTCACCCTATTCACCCCGTCCACCTTGTCAACGCTGTAAATTCTTTCCATCCTGTCTGCCCAGTACACAGTGACCACCCTATCCTCCCTGTCTACTCTGACCATCCTGTCTACCCCGTCCACGCCATCCATCCTATCCACCCTATTACCTTGGGCACTCTGTTCACTCTGTCCTCCATGTTTACTCTCTTCACCCTGTCCTTTCCTTCCATCCTGCTCCTCAGTATCAGAGTGAACTCCTGGAATGACGAAGGCAGAAATCTCCTTCGCTTTATCTGTTAAAGGTACTTGGTAGTATCTGTTACGGAGATATGTCTTAGAAAAGAAAGGGGTCATAGCCACAAAGTAGTCTATATTTTTCATTCATGGAAGAGGGTAAGCATCCGGTACTGTGATCTCATTTAACCTGCAGAAGTTAGTACATATTCGGAATCCTCCATAAGATTTGTTAAGAAGGGAGCAGCGGTGAAGCCCTCGGGCTGAACGATTCTTCCGCCAATCCACGTGCTTGCAGACTCGCTACTTCCTGCTGTAGTAGTTCCTGTTTTTCAGAATTAGCTTCGTAAGGAGAAAGTGTAATAGGTTTAGCAATTCCTTCGTCCACATCATGACAACCGAGGTTGCACAATGTTGGAACATCCGGAAATATGTCGAGATAGGTTTGCAGATGGGTAGTTACCACTTGGTCTTCTGTAAGTCCCGACATTATTGGGGCAGGATCCTGGAGGATGGCTGAGTTAGGAAGCCTTATTTGATCCTCTGGTACTATGTACAAGGAATCAGAGGCAACAGGGTCAGAGACAGGACAAAGTCATTACTGGAACCTTAGGTGACTCAAACAATAGTGTAATTTCATTAATGTCGAAGGCCTTACCCGAGCTGGGTTTACCCAGAGGTGCTACTGCATAAACCTCTCTTTTAAGATGTGACTTCTGTTTTATGTTGTTTTGAACGGTTTTTAGGTCGGCCTTAACCATCTCACGTGCCACGTGCAGTGTTGATGATGGATAGTAAGGCGTCTTGCAGGCGTCTTCTACCAACCACCCTTCCTTCAGCACGTGTAGTGGACCCCTCATATTTTGCCCAAAAATCATCTCACATGGACTGTATCCTCTTGATACCTTCTCAGTTCCTCGCATTGCAGACAACAACACAGGAAGCGATTCATTCCAGTCTGTAGGTAAATGCATGCAATACGTACGCTTCATAGTTTTTAAGGTTTGGTAAAACTTCAGACATTGGCTGATAGACCGTGAATGGGACAGAGGATGATAGGCCGTGATCAATTTTTGCATTAATTCTTAGCTGATTAAATCTTTTCCGAATGCTTTTACCGTGAAATTAGTACCCTGGTCACTATGACTAAGTCATGGAATGCATCAGTGAGAAATAAACTTAATGAGGGTTTTAAGTATGACCTTAGTTTTAATACAACGCATAGGTACTGCCTCAGGATACCTAGTAATTTTAACTATAATGGAAAAGGTGTATTAATTACCTGACTTGACCTTACGTATGGGACCACACAGTTGATGATCACGAAGTGGTGTGGGCTTAATGTACTGTACGTGTTTACTCACTTGCTGGCACAACAGGATCAGATGTAATTTCGCCCCTCTAATAGAAATGCTGTAATATTCTATAAAAGGTTTTAGTAACAACTAAATGTTCTAAGGACGAATTATGAGCTACTGTCAGGACCTGATGTCTACATTTATTTGGTACCACATGTCTATCTGATTTTAATATTTCCCGTACCTCCTTACCTGTAGCTGGACTAAATAGGTGATTGTTCAGGACATATTTAATAAGGTGACTAGAGTTGAATTCAGATATGGCAACTTTAAATTCCCACCGGAATTTGGATCTGCACCGAGCACAGCCGCCTACACAACGAAGTAATTAGCGAAATCATCACTCAAACCAGCTGTAAATTCCTGTACCTTCCCATATAATGCTGTATGAACCAGTGTTCGTGTAGCCATCGCAAATCTCGAGCCTGATTTTGGAAACACTCAAAAAACTGCTGTCTCTACCACATCTGCGATGATAATGAGAATCTTCAAAACTAGGGATGCCAAACGAGGGGTGATTCTTCTCAAATCGCTTGTCCTCTCTAGGCTGGAGTATTGCTGTACAATAATGGTCCCTTTCAAGGCTGGCGAAATAGCAAACTTGGGGAATATACAGAAAACTTTTACTGCTCATACAATAATGCTCCTAAATTACTGAGAACGTTTGAAGTCCCTTGACCTGTTCGCCTTAAAATGCTGGCGAGAAAGATACATGAAAATATACACTTTTAAAATCCTAGGGCACTAGTGATTTCATTCGGAAATCACTCCCTACAAAAGCAAAAGACTTGGCAGGTGGTGCAACACCCCCAAGTGAAAAGCAGGAGTGCCAAAAGTACACTGAGAGAAAACAGAATAAGTGTCAGGGGCCCAAGACTGCTCAACTGCTTCCCATCATTTGGAAGAGAGATTACCAGTATACCCAGGCTGTCTGCAACCGGGAGATGGACAGGTATCTAAAGTCTGTACCTGACCAGCCGGGCTGTGGTTCGTATGTCGGTTTTGCGTGCAGCAGGCAGTAACAGCCCGGTTTATAAGGCCCGGATCCACCGTGAGGCCTGGTCATAGACCGGGCCGCGGGGGCGTTGACCCCAAGAACACTCTGTACCTAACCAGCCGGGCTGTGGTTCGTATGTCGGTTTGCGTGCAGTTAGCAGTAACAGCCTGGTTGACCAGGCTCTGATGCACCGTGAGGCCTGGTCATAGACCGGGCCGTGGGGGCGCTAACGTTGTTCCCTGGTGTGTTCATGACTGAGTCGAGCCAACTCAAGCACTAACGTTGTTCCCTGGTGTGTTCATGACTGAGTCGAGCCAACTCAAGCACTAACGTTGTTCCCTGGTGTGTTCATGGCTGAGTCGAGCCAACTCAAGCACTAACGTTGTTCCCTGGTGTGTTCGTGGCTGAGTCGAGCCAACTCAAGCACTAACGTTGTTCCCTGGTGTGTTCATGGCTGAGTCGAGCCAACTCAAGCACTAACGTTGTTCCCTGGTGTGTTCATGACTGAGTCGAGCCAACTCAAGCACTAACGTTGTTCCCTGGTGTGTTCATGACTGAGTCGAGCCAACTCAAGCACTAACGTTGTTCCCTGGTGTGTTCATGGCTGAGTCGAGCCAACTCAAGCACTAACGTTGTTCCCTGGTGTGTTCATGACTGAGTCGAGCCAACTCAAGCACTAACGTTGTTCCCTGGTGTGTTCATGGCTGAGTCGAGCCAACTCAAGCACTAACGTTGTTCCCTGGTGTGTTCATGACTGAGTCGAGCCAACTCAAGCACTAACGTTGTTCCCTGGTGTGTTCATGGCTGAGTCGAGCCAACTCAAGCACTAACGTTGCTCCCTGGTGTGTTCATGGCTGAGTCGAGCCAACTCAAGCACTAACGTTGCTCCCTGGTGTGTTCATGGCTGAGTCGAGCCAACTCAAGCGCTAACCTAACTGACTCCCCCCGAGACAACCCCGATTCACTACCTGTTTCCTTAGGTGGATAGTTGTTCTTGTTCTCCGGAGTTTGAGGTCGCTAAGGTTCCGCGAGAGGTTGCTAGGGTTCCGCGAGAGGTCGCTAAGGTTCCTCGAGAGGTCACTAAGGTTCCGCGAGAGGTCGCTAAGGTTCCGCGAGAGGTCGCTAAGGTTCCGCGAGAGGTCGCTAGGGTTCCGCGAGAGGTCGCTAAGGTTCCGCGAGAGGTCGCTAGGGATCCGCGAGAGGTTGCTAAGGTTCTGCGAGAGGTCGCTAGGGTTCCGCGAGAGGTCGCTAAGGTTCCACGAGAGGTCGCTAGGGTTCCGCGAGAGGTCGCTAAGGTTCCGCGAGAGGTCGCTAAGGTTCCGCGAGAGGTCGCTAGGGTTCCGCGAGAGGTCGCTAAGGTTCCGCGAGAGGTCGCTAGGGTTCCGTGAGAGGTCGCTAAGGTTCCTCGAGAGGTCACTAAGGTTCCGCGAGAGGTCGCTAAGGTTCCGCGAGAGGTCGCTAAGGTTCCGCGAGAGGTCGCTAAGGTTCCGCGAGAGGTCGCTAAGGTTCCGCGAGAGGTCGCTAGGGTTCCACGAGAGGTCGCTAAGGTTCCTCGAGAGGTCACTAGGGTTCCGTGAGAGGTCGCTAGGGTTCCGCAAGAGGTCGCTAGGGTTCCGCGAGAGGTCGCTAGGGTTCCACGAGAGGTCGCTAGGGTTCCACGAGAGGTTGCTAGGGTTCCGCGAGAGGTCGCTAGGGTTCCGCGAGAGGTCGTTAGGGTTCGGGTTCCGCGAGAGGTCGCTAGGGTTCCGCGAGAGGTTGCTAGGATTCCGCGAGAGGTCGCTAGGGTTTCACGAGAGGCCACTACGTTTCCACGAGAGGTCGCTAGGTTTCCGCGAGAGGTCGCTAGGTTTCCGCGAGAGGTCGCTAGGGTTCTGTGAGAGGTTGGTAGGGTTCCGCGAGAGGTCGCCAGGTTTCCGCGAGATGTTGCTAGGTTTCCGCGAGAGGTCGCTAGGTTTCCGCGAGAGGTCGCTAGGTTTCCGCGAGAGGTCGCTAGGGTTCTGTGAGAGGTCACCAGGTTTCCGCGAGATGTTGCTAGGTTTCCGCGAGAGGTCGCTAGGTTTCCGCGAGAGGTCGCTAGGGGTTCCCAGAGCAACAGTGATAAATAGGCTAATCACTTATAAAAGTATTATTAAGTCATTCTTGAGGTTAATAATATATTCGTAATTTTACTATAAATGTACGGTATATTCTTGGAAAATTCTTGGGTATTAAAATAAAATCTCCAACCTCTTATATCTTTTAAAAATATAATATTGATTGAGAATATATTTAGCGATGTTTACACAGCACCAGTGTAAAACCGCCTTTAGTGTCCAGTGGACAAAGAGTTTCCAGGAGCAGACAGTTCGGGAGAGAAGAAAGTCCGTTTAGCAGGTGAGAAGGCAGAGTGTATGACATGGGAAGAGTAGCCAAGACGGGAAAATGAATTACGAAGAGTGCAGATTTCTGATTGAAGGAACTGAGGATCACACATGCGGAGAGCACGGAGAAAGAGGGAGATTAGAACACTTCTTGACAGGGGAAGCATAATAAGAAGAGTAGTGAATGTACATGCCACTGTGCATAGGCTTGTGGTACACGGATAAAGCAAAATTTGTGTTTGAGCAGTGTACATGAACATCAAGGAAAGGAAACAAGGAATTAGATTCCCATTCAGCTTTAAACTTAATGGAAGGGGCAAGGTTATTAGAGGCATCAAGAAATGGTTGGAAGAGACTTGAGTCATGAGGCCACAGAGCAAAGATGTCATCTACACAGCGGAGCCAGAGTGAAGGTCGTACACATCACTAGTAAGAAGAACTGTATCGAAGTATTCCATGTAAAGATTAACAAGGACAGGAGACAGAGAAGAGCCCATAGCGACACCGAAAGTTTAAGAATATTATTTACCTTGGATGGTATTGTCATGGCTACGATGTTATGATTATTATTATTTTTATAATCAAAATTAAGTGCTAAACCATCAGGGTCAACGATGTTCTGATGTTGGTGTTTTGTAAGCTACTGTGATGCTGATAATGTTGTCATGCCCATGATGTTGGTATAATGTTCAAGAAGTCGATGCGATGTTTATGATTTTGCTTGTTATTCATGATGTTAGATTGATGTCATTGATATTGAAATCGGTCCTGAGGTTCACTATGATGGTGAGGTCATGATAGTGAGTTATTCGCAGTTAGGGACTTCACGATGTCAATGTGATGCTCCAGGTGCCAGTGTAATGTTCATGGTGTTGGTGTGGTGATATACATGTTGGGTGGTGACAGTATGGTGTATCGTTACAGTATGATGTTTATGATGTTAGTATGAGTGTGATGAGAGACATGCTGGTAGTGACACTCTTGTGCATCACAAATGGGTGGGGCTTCAACCCATGGTGAGTCCTGAAACTCACAGGCCAGTATGTTAACCACTAGGCCAGCTGGCTCTAATGAGATTCATCCAACTGGGTATATTTCTATACACCATAGGGAAGTTAGCATGGGCCCCACCGTGTCCACAAATGCAGGCTATTACAGACAAATCTGACACCAGCGTGAGCCATGATGGTGGCTTTGAGTAAACTTGAGCGAGAGTACGACACTTCGACGCTGGTGTGGGATTCGTCTACAAAATCCAACATTTATTGTCACATTGGAGTCCATTCTAACCTCCACATGGCGCATAAAAATGTACCTAGTTGGATGAATGTTATTAGAGCCAGCTGGTCAAGTGGTTACCACACTGGCCAGTGAGTTTTAGTACTTACTTGCTACAGGCATGATATTCATATCTGTAGTGGCAAACCACTACGGACATAATGTTCATGGTGTTGGTGTCATGGGAGACATGGTAATAGTGTGTCAGTATAATGTATCACTTACAGGGATGAAAGTATCAGTAGCAGTATCACCAGCATCGTTAATGCCACTACCCAACATAGACGAGGTGGTGCTGGAGCTCACTGGTGTGAATGACACTACACTGAGTCATGCCTGTGATATGGTCCAAAAACTACAACCGAAAGAAAGGTGAGTCTTTCACTTTCGTTTTAGAGTACCCTTCAATATTGGTATCACTGATTTCATCATTGCTTAGTTAATCTTAAGTTAATTTTAAGCCAGCCCGTAATGCTATGCATATAAGTGGCTTTGGCATGCTGCTCTTACCTGTATTTTTTGTACCTCTGTTTGTATGCTTAAAAAATTACCTGGTGCTGAGTGCTGTGATTGACACTGGTGTGAGTGACACTGGTGTGAGTGACACTGGTGTGAGTGACACTGGTGTGAGTGACACTGCGTGAATTATGCTGGTGTGAATGACACTGGTGTGATGTAATTCTTGTGTTTTGCATTGAAGGTATCTGGTGTGTAGGAAATCCACCTTGCCTGTGTTAGTCAAGATATATACTGGAGTAGTAGCGTGCAGGATTCATAGAGAACTGTAGACTACAGCATAGTTTACTGGATGATTATTACAGTCTCTTTTGCCACCTTTGCCTTCACACAAAGGAATTATGCATGCTCTCTGCCAATCCCCCATTCATAAATTTATTAAATGAAAGCGTTAGGTGAGTACATATACTGTAGGAAGAGCGTCTGTCTCACACTTAGCAGATGGAAGATCAAGCCTCTACTACGCTTTGCACTGAATGTCTCATATGGGTTAATGCTTAACGTGAATTATTTATTTATTTGCTATCCTCTCTAAAACTATATCCACGGTTGCTTTTAACATTTCTGTCTTTATCCCATTAATTCCAACTGCTGTACTCTCTCTCATTCTACTCACAGCCTCACGCACTTCTCCCACACTCACACTGGCTCTTCCTCACTCCTACAAAATGTTATACTTCCCTGAAAAGTACACAAAATCACAGTTTCCCTATCTTCACCTAGCAGCAAATAGGCACCTGAGTGTTAGCCGACTGGTGCGGGTCGTATCCTGGGGGACAAGATTGAGGACTCCAATAGAAATAAGTTACAGTCCTCGATGACACACTGACTTTCTTGGGTTAACCTGGGTGGCTAACCCTCTTGGGTTAAAAATCCAAACGAAATCTTATCTTAATCAACATTAACAGCTTCTCAAAATATTCCTTCCATCCTCCTGATTCCTCAAACTCTCAATGTAATAACTCTCCTCTTCTATTTTTAACTGTCAAATCACATCATTCTCTAGGCTTTCTCAACTTATTAATTTCTCTCCAAACTTCTTTTTCTCAACAAAATTTGTTGATAGCACCTCACCCACTCTCTCATTTGCTTTCTTTTACATTCCTTCACCACTCTCTTAACCTCCTTTTTTCTCTCCATATACTCCTCCGTCCTTACATCACTTCCACTTTCTATAAACCTCTCATATGCTAACTTTTTCTCTCTTACTACTCTCTGTACCTCATCATTCCACCAATCTCTCTTCTTCCCTCCCGCACCCATTTTCCTGTAATCACAAACTTCTGCTGAACACTAACACTACATTTTTAAATCTACCCCAAACCTCTGCAACCTCATTGCCTATACTCTCACTAGCCCAACTCTCTTCCAATAGTTGTTTATATCTTACCCTAACAGCCTCCTCTTTTAGTTTACAAACCTTCACCTCTCTCTTATTTACTGATTCTGTTCTCCTTGCCTCTCAACTATCTTTTGTTCTCACTGTAGCTACAACTAAAAACTGATCTGATATATCAGTGGCCCCTTTATAAATATGCGCATCTTGAAGTCTACCCAGCAGTCTTTTATCTACCAATACATAGTTCAACAAACTACTGTCATTATGTCCTATATCATATCTCGTATACTTATTTATCCTTTTTTTTTTTTAAAATATGTGTTACCAGTAACTAAACCCCTTTAAATTCCAAGTTCAATCAAAGGCTCCCCATTATCATTTACACCTGGCACCCCAAACTTACCTTACCACAAATAACCCGCATGTAGAAGAGAGGAGCTCCTCTAATTATTTCTCCCCCCCACTGCGTTCTTGCTCTATCCTCTGTGGGCACCTAGCTCCCTTGCAGTGCTCCTCTTCTTAGTATCTGACTGGTTCCACTATCACCATTACTACCTCCACCACTACTACTACCACCTCCTGGCCTATATATACTCCCTTGTGAAGGCTTACTCAGCCCTGTAACAACTTCAGACAGTATTACCAAGGCTGGCTCCTCTTCAGGAAAATTAATGAATAGAAAAAAGAAATAATAACAGACAAACAAAAACACTTTATTATATATAAAATATAAAATATAAAACACTTAAATATGAAATATTAATCCTACATTAAAGAAAATGAAAAATGAAAAATATAAATGATAACTGAATTCAATGCTAATATAAAACTTGGGTGTCTGGTGTTGGTGACACTGCTTGTTGTTGAAAACGTAGCCGTTGCCGATGATGGGGGGGGGGTCGCAGGTGTTGATGACAACCCACCGGTTCGTTCTTCACAGTATAGCCTTGAGTATTCTATCCCGATGACAGGAAAGCAGGTTCTTTACCGCTGCAATGATGAGGGGTTACGTCCTGCAATTTCATACAGGTGCACAGGTAATTAAATCCAAAAAGGGGAAGTCTCAGGACGTTAGTCCATCTCCATCAGTTCTACTCGTTGATTGGCAGGTGACCCTCTCTGTCATCCAAGCTGGAAAGATAGACAGGTTACCCACTGCTTAAGAAATCACTCTCCATGATAAGTACAATACCTGAAAGATGTGGTGATCATTACAGCAGTCAACCTAGAGCAAGACTGAAAGGACTAAGTTTATTATTGGTCAAAAGTGAAGCTTTCAACCAATAAATCCACTAGAATACAAGGCAGGCATGTACTTACAGTAGTGCTGGGAGCTGTGAATCTAGTGATTACTGTTTGGACCGGAGCCCCACACGTCACCTTTCGGGGGGGGGGGAAGAAGGAGGGGAAGGGATAGCAGGAGCTAGACTTACCTTACCTTAACAAGTAATAACAAGGGAATAGCAGGAGCTGGACTTACCCTGCCTTAACAAGTAGCCGGCAATGAAACTATCTTTACTATATCGCTACTACTATCTATTGAACTTTTCCCTCACATCCCTCCTCTCCTTTTCGTTCTTTAGAACGTCTTTCTTCACTCCTGGTCTGTCGTGCTCTGTCCGATCACACAGTTGCTCTACACTCAAAAAGCCTCCCTTCGACCCCGCCTGGGTGGGGAATTTATATTCTACGAACGTCACATCCTTTTCACAGTGCTGTCGCGCGTCGTGTGAAGATTCAAGCCTGTGAATGGTGCAATAAATGACTCCTCGAAGTTAGCTTTAGCTACCGTCGTTAAGACCTGCCTGCAGGTCAAATTTACGGTAATCCACTTTCTGAAGGACTCCTTCATTGTCGTCTGCACAGACGACAGGGAAGTATCAAAACTAATGGACGACTCTTCAATCAGGACCCTACAAACACAACAATTCACTCTATCCCCGTCTCCATTCTTGAAGTCGAAACGTTCGGTCTTTGTGAAAAGACTGGACAATATCGTCACCTCTCTCTACTGAAGCAATGAAGGCATCTTTTGAGGAACAAAACACCTGGGCCTCGGTAGACAGCATCTCCAAGATCCCCAATGCCTCTTCTATGCTAAAGATTACATTCTCAGACATCTCCATGGCTGCCCAAGCTCTCTCTGACGGTCTGGCCATCTCATATTACCACATTCATCTAGTCATATAGAACAAGAACGTTTCACATACATCTCCCACTGCTGGATCTGCTGCTCCTATAAACACACCACCAAGTACTGCCCCATCACGGATAAGAAGTTTTGTTCAAAATGTGGGAATGATGAGCACGATTTCAGATCCTGCACCATTACTACAGCACCAACATGTCTTAACTGCAAGGGTAATCTTTCATCCCCTTGCAGCTAAGTGCCCACTCAGGAAAGAAAATCATATTCAAGAAAACTAAAGTTCTAAAGGGAAACCTCCAATTCACCGACATACGCTGCAATAACCAAACCACAAACCGACACCATCAAGACTCTACACGCTAATCTACAGCCATCATCGCCCAGCAACTCCCTCTCTCAACTCCCCGACGGTGCTTCCTCCAAGGTGCTGTACTGCATGCTGTATGCACACCTTGCAAACGCAGCAAACCCCGGCACTTTCAACACCACTATTAACGAACTATCCGTCTGAAAAAAGGGCCTGCCTTCAATTTTCCGGACCCTATACCTTCAGCAGACATCCTCAAGATCCTTCCCAACGCCCTGAACTTTAATGCACCTGCAGACCTGTCTCCTGCCCAAGCAACTGCTCCTGTAACTTCTATAACCACTTACACCGCTGACAACGCTGATCATGCTGTCTCAACCACCGTCTCCCACCTCTCCCAGCCTGCTGTTACACAACCATTACACCTCACCACTGCTCTTGTCGACCCTCAGTCACCTACCACCATTGTAGATTCGCCCAATGAATCCACTCCAGAAGAGGAAGATAGCGACGACTCCAGTAAACCCTCATGGGAAAACCTTATCTTCTACACTTCTCCTTCAAATACTGACACCATGACCTGTACTGAACTCTACAAAAGCCTCGGTGCTGGAACAGTCAAGTATGCCTGTGAATCACCGCTTCACTTCACACTCATGCAAGTTCTTAAGTTCATCAAACCTCTACGAGGCTCATCAAGCCTCGAAAATGGTTCCATTGCTAACCTGCCTCCTCAGTTACTTCTATAACTCCCATGTGTTCTACCCTCTGATCTGTATAGTCCTTGTGGCTTAGCGCTTCTTTTTGATTATAATAATAATCTACCCTCTGATGTGACCTAGCCTTCTGCCAGCTACTCAAGATTCAAGACTTCAACTACAAGCTCGATGCAACAGTCCCTGCTATTCCTGTTCTCAAGTCTGCCCAACGATCGCCTTAGCTGCTGGGTTAAGCCCTGGCTCTATTCCTCTGACTAAGAACACTCCTCTCCAGAGCTATTCTTCATCTGTCCCGTCTTCCCCGCTCATCCCATTGGGATCTTACCTGAACTTGTTTGCTTTGTTTGCTTTTGCTTTTCGTTTAAACGAACTTGCCTCTCTACCTCGTGTTGAGAGTGACTTTCCTCAGAGTGGTAGTTACTGGACCTTCGTCTTC